AAAAACTAACAATATTCTTAAATATATCAATCCCAATATGTAAATAATCTCAACATGTAAATATGTAAACTAGTTTTATAAAAATAAATAAAGTATGCTTAGATGCGTTTTGAAAAAAAAAAAAAAAAAAAAACATGTAAATTTAACATGTGATGATGCACAAATAACAGATCTTGACACAAAGGACAGGCCCGGTTCTTAGACCAGTAGATCACAAACCTTCCAAACAGAAAATCGACCTCTTGGAAATAAGCAGTAGTCAGAACTTTTCTCTAAACTAAAAGAAAAAAAGGTTATATTTACAAATACTATACCAAAACAGAAAATACTTTCTAAAAATGAAAATGCACTTATTTTTAACATCCAGGATCTTGTAAACATCTCAACAAATGATATCATTCTAGCTCTAGCAACCAAGCTTGGAGGAGACCTACTAGCAGCCAAAATGTATATGCAAAGAGGAAAGCGTGCTTTTCTAGAGACTGTCTTTGTCAACAAGGACAAGCAAAAGCTTTATGTATTAGAAAAAATCCGTATCTTCAACCAAACATTGTTTGGGTATATTCTAATAAATCTCAAATGTATTTTTCTCTCAGTTAAGCTAAAAAACATGCTGATGGGAGAAAAAGAACAAATAAATGAATTGGTTAAGATAGCATTTCAAGATATAGGTACTATCACATCAATCAAACTGCTTCTATTCAAAGAAACATCTGTATGCTCAGATCAATAGATCATTACCTTTGAAACTACAGAGAACCCTGATCTAGCCCAAAGACTTTATAGGTATATACATATAGAAGATTACAAAGTTTCAACAAACTGAAAAGAAGCTTCAAAAGTCTGTTACTACTGTGAATAAACAGGGCATATCAAGAAAGACTGCAAGGAGTTAAAGGCTTCAATCGAATTTAGACAAAGATTAAAAGAGTACAAGAAACAAAGAGAACTTAAAGCAGAAAGTCAGAATCTAAACGAAGCTGAAATACAAACTCAATTCAGTCCAGAAAATCCTTATATTTCAGAAATGATTTTGGAAAAAGCTGATGAAAATATTACAGAAACACAAAACATATCTCAATCTTAAATAGAAACAACTTTATTAGAAAATATTTCAGACAGAAGAACATAAGATCACAGATACAAAGACAAAAACTAATGAGATAGACACATTTGCAAATACTAATAATAGAAAGAACAACAAAGACGAAAGAGAATTTACTCTTGTTATCTCAAAAAAAGAAAAATATAAAAACAAAGTAAAGAAAAGAAGTTTCTCTCCATTCACCAGAGTTAATAAAGTAGATAAGGAAAATAACTTCCAAGGAGTTACTTCTCCTCGCATCTAACCAAAAACACCCACAAGTGTGATCAAATATCTACATCATGATTAAGATTAATGTAAAGGCTCAAAAAACTTTAACTTTATTAAAATCTTACAAAATAGACCTAATACTCTTACAAAAAACAAATCTTAAAAACATAGCAACAAGAAAATTTTTCTCATAACAGTAGGAATATGACTCAATTTGGATCTCCAAAACAGCTATTCTAGCTAGAAAAGCAAATATCAAATTCTCTGAAACCCAAGTTTTATACAATGACTAAGTAATTTCAACAAAACTAACATACAAAACTCTTTCTGGTTCCCTTCTCGGAAATCACTTGAAATCAAAATTTTACAAAGAAACTCATTTTTTATCTTCGATTTTTCCAACAAAACAAGGACCTCAGGGTCCAGAAAGCACGAACTTACTACTCTAGACATGGATAAGCAACCAAACAACAAGAAGACCAGACTTTCTTCAAACAGCGACAAAGTTTTTGACTTTACAAAAACTGAAGAAAACAAAGAAAATAACAAAAAACTT